AAACAGGTAAACGTTATATCTAGATAACGTAGTAATTATTATTGATTTATTTTATTTTTCGGTGCCAACCTCTTTCATATTATTTAGTGGTTCGGGTAAGTTACGTTTTAAATAAGAAAATGCATACGGTTGGGTTTTTTTTTTTTTTTTTGATATATATAATTACCAACAAACACAGTTATCGATTTGTTTTGATTGAAAACTAATGAAATTTGAATTTAAAATTAGGTCAGTGGTATATGGCATCCGCATGGTACCGTCTCCGTTTTAATACGCTTTGTGTTCGACAAGGACAATTTGTTGACAGTTAGTTTTGATGATATTCAGGCGGATCGACTTTTTATCAAATCTAACGGTAAACATATTCTGCAATCGTGCAATCGTGTTTTTCGGTGTGCAAAAATACTTTCGAATTTCATTTATCCACACGCTAAAAATTTACGCATCGATAAAAAATCATTATAGTCAACCGAGATAACGTCCTTACAATTAATTACGATAGCGAAAAAATCAGTTTTATCAATGTCAAATCTAACAACCCAAAATCGTCGCGGCTGCGAATCAAATATCTGATATGACGTGCGTTCGTTAGACGGCGAAACCGCTTGCGGGTACGACGTCCTCCTAAACATTGAGGGACGAAACCGATGTTAGGATATTTTTCCACCAAATTTACAATAATTAAAGCAATATGAAATTCAAAATCGGTATTAAAATTTCGAACACTTCAAATACAACATATTATGTATTCAGCTCAGAGTTTGTAGAAGACACCGTCAAATTGTTTTACGTCATTTTTTTTTTCACGGAGTGCAGTGTTTTCGTATTATATAGACGGAGTCGAACGGTTTTGAAACTTCGATAATTAACTACCAACTTTATTTCACCTTATTAAACACTTAAAACACGTCGCCCGTTTCGGGTTGTACGTTAAACATAAAATGAACAAAAATTATAAAAAAAAAAAACTGAGAGAACCTTATAATATATTAAGCCAACGACTTTGTAGAACAAAATATTATAAATAAAATTAAAAAAAAAAAAAAAAGGTAAAAAGCAACTGTGGAATATTTTTTGATAAAAATTCAATCTATCGTCATCGTATTTTCATTTTTGACTAAAAAGTGGCAAAAACAGTACAAAACTCTCTACTATAGAAAGTTGTTATAAACCGATAATTTTACATTTTTTTTTTTTAAATAACAGAGAAAAACTGACAAAACAGGAAGGTGAATCGCCGGTTTTTGATATAATTTATGAAACGCAAAGAACAACGATATAACAATGACATCGCGAATTCGGTTTTCTGAAATATCGATTTCACCGTAGGCTTTTTGTTTTATTTTCGACGTCTTAGTCGAGGCGGGTTTTAAAATATGCAAACAAACGAACCGCGACAATCGACTTGCCGTTAAGACATTTCCGTTTTCCGAATTACCGCGTATGTCTGTGTTTAGTTGTCACTCGGTTCGGGTCGCGTGACGGGTAAAATCGCGATAAGAAAAAAAAAAAAATCGAAAAAGAACACCGTATGATAATGTTCAACGCGATTAGAGAACGCGTTTGCGGACGCGTCATTGCTTTAAAAACCGCAAAGAGCGTACACCCGCGGATTGTAAAATTAACGGTCGCGTACAATATGCGCGGATGTGCGAGATAGGGCAGGTGGGGCAATTTTTTTCTTTTTCTTTTTAGTTTTTGAAAAACAAAATCACTAAATTATAACGCGTAATTTATTTCGCGTAGCCCCGCCCCCTCCTTCCACCAACCCAACCACACACCACCGTCGCGGGCGCGGCGTGATAAATATACTATAGGCTCGGTGTCCATGATATCGCCGTATAAGTTCGCCGGCGGCAAAAACGGTATAGTTTTGCGAACACAAATTAATAAATTGTTGAACCCGGCCCGCGTGCGAGAAGACGTTCAAATTAAAACGCGCGCGAATTCGGTACGCCTATATTTTATGCGCGCACGATAAACTCGGGCATGTCGCGTTATTAAAACACTTACGTACGTTTTTTTTTTCGGTTTTTTTTTCGGTTTTATTTTTGTTTTTTTTTTATCGCGGTAGTGATAAAATCGTAAAAATTTATGGCGCAGAAGACCGCCGCACATAATAACAATAATAATAATAATAATAGAGTCGCGTCTAACGACACCGGGAACGGGCGGCGATATTTTCCGTCAATAACGTACGCTCCGTGTTTACACGGTTTTCGCGTCGGTAAAACCGCGTGTGTGGTTCGCGGACGGAATCCGCTCCCCCCCCCCACTCCCTCCCTCTTACCCGCCCCGTTCTTTCCACCGACACGCGTGTTGTTGTACGACAACAATCGCCTAATAATAACAACAGACGAAACAAAAACGCGGGCACGCTCCGCGCAGACGGGCGCTTGGCCGCCGGTTCGGGTGAGATGATGCCGGGTTAGGTAGCTGCCGATACGGTACGGGGGAATTTAATTTATACTGTTATCCGCACGTGACGATAAACCGTCGCTGACGGAAAACGATTCGGATTTATTTTACACGCGCGCACGTGCGTTTTCCCGGTTTTTCCGGCAATGCACAGATTTTACGGCTGAGAGAAAAAAAAAAATAATAAATAAATGACCCGTCGACCGGCTTGAGCGTCGTAATTGACCCTCGCTGGATTCGTGTCACACGCCACGGGGGTTAAATTTGAATTCTCATTTGTTTATGGGTTTTTAATGGTCTGGCGTCGTTTTTAACTATCGGCGTATTCCATACTTCAATAGAACGTCTATTTTTACTAACGACACTATTCCGGCCATGCAATGATAAACCAAAATAGTTCAGTCAACGCTGACTGAAAAATATTGAATTCAACTCTCAGAACGTGCGTAACTAATTCACCGAAAATCGCTCGCCAGTCAATTTGCTAAGCCTCTCTCCAACTAGTCAACTATATTTCATCGTTGTATACCCAATACATTTACCGAAACGCTCCTAATCTAAAATACCGACATCAGAATATTCGTAATGTAGAAAAAATATGTATTTCAAATTCTAAGTGGAGCGAAAAAACCGTATGGTTTTACAAATATGTTTATTTTACTTTTTTTTTCTGTGGACAACATTTCTACCAGGAATTTCGCTCCAACTTTTAATGATCGCAATATTTTCAATAGAAAATTTTACTAGGGAGGTACTTTAGAAAGGTCAATTTTCGATTTTTCAGAAGTTTTCCCTGCAAATGTGAAAAACCGGGAAATACGTATGAAAATTGGGAAAATCGAAACAAAACTAAATACATTTTATTCAAGAAAACATATAAAGCCATTTTAATTATTTTTCTACTCTAAAATGACATATATATTGTTGACAAATCATCACTATCAACAGAACTCCGTTCCCTTCGTAATGTAATACCTTCCCAACTTCCCACCTACATCAGTGGCTGCACCCGTCCCCATTATTTTACCTTTTTTATAGTATAAATATTGTAAAAACTATATCTCTTAAATCTCATTCGGGTGTATATTTTTAGACACATTTTACGATTATAATAGACAAAGGCGTGAAGCCATCTAGATCTACAGTTGTTCTCATGTAAGTATTCGTTCTTATCGTTATAGAACATTTTGAGAGGAAGTTTACAATCATTAGAGTTTAAAGAAAATGATAAGTTTAACGAATACCGATTACAATAATTGTTGGTCATAACAATTGTTAGTTCAAATTCTTATCGATTTTGGTTCATATCGAATAAGATTAGAACGTTTTAAGTTATATCAGATTTGGAGATTCGCCCATTTAAATACCGTCGATTAACATAGGATTATAGCCATTGAATATTCAAATTTTTACAGGATTTCCAAAAATAATACACGTCATTTTAAAGCTCGTAACTATTCCCCATAATCGAAAATTACGTTTATGTCTTTTTTTTTAAAAAAATATTAAATTTTATACTGATGGATCAACACGACCAAGCTATTCTTCGGCCATATTTTCAGAATAAAATAACTGACTGAATAGAGAACGCAGTACAACTAAGATCTTCAACGGTGACCGAAAACCACGTATCGATTCGTTATCACAAAGTTATTTTTGTATTGTATTGCAATACAATACTTAATTATATTAAACTATGGCCCCGACAAATTCAATTTTTGATCGTGCAACACAACCCAACAATACAGCTATGGTATATTTATGTTAATGAAATATTTTATGTAAAATCAAGAAAAAAAAATATCGCACATTTTATGCATTTTATTTTAAATTTGATTCTGATCGGTCATCTATTTAATGCGCTGCACGGTCCTGCTTGTAGCTTTTAAAAATCGTTAACAGCACATTTTCACCATCTAAAAGGAACTTTTGTCCAATCGATTTAAATTTTTACTACAATATATGTATTTTAGATATGACTTTGCTAACATTCATAAAAAAAATCGCATAGATGAATTCATATTAACTTAAAAATCATTCCTGATTACCACTTCAAACGCAACACTAAACACCCAGCAATTTGACAGTCCGAGATTCGTAACTTCTTATGTAGAATTTTCTTATTGTATTTCATTTGCAGACGTCCGTCACGGGGGACACTCAAGTGAATTTTGAATTTGCGTAACGATCGATAACAAGTGAAATAAACAAAAATCTATTTGTTGCATATTGGGGTTTAAATTATGTTTCTTTTTTGTTTGTTTATTCAGGCTTCATTGACGTTTGAAAGAACGCAGCAAATAAAAAATTTCACCCGGCACATAGTGGAGTAGTACAATTAATTATAATGCCTATTTATATGTATACTTTTTTCTTGTTGTCAATCAAATATAACCTGGACCAAGAGATGATTTAACAAACACTTTTGATTAGGAATGTGCCGGTTGTTGAAAAACGCCAGTTTCAAAAATTCTTCTTTCGGTTCTCTTCTCCGTACCATACCTACTTTCAAATTTTATGAATAATTTTAAGCACGTAAAACACGATTACCTAATTGAGGTATTTAATTTCCAGTATTAAATCGAGTTTAGATCACTTAAGTGACGCGCAGAGGTTTACGTTTTCGTAGTGGGCGCGTCAATAAGGTTGTGTAAGCTAGTTTTCTCATCTACCCGTCTACTTAATAGTATTATGAACTTTGCAAATCGCGTAGGAGATACCCGGCAAAAACGGGATAGATTATAACATTTCGAAAACGATTAGACGTCATTAGGACATATTCTGGCAAGGTATCGCTCAGTCGACGTATATTTGTAGAACACCGCAATGACAAATGTTAAATATCGAGCATGTCACTATAATATGTATTAATATTTCCCGAGTTAATCGAACGTTGTCTGTCTAAGGTCAAATATTTTACCAAGTTTTACATATTTGTTTGAAAAATTACTATTATCTAGCGCCGCTTTAATTTATACGTGGGATGTCCCATCATGAATACGTGCCCATTTCGATATTTCCTGATGTAATGAAGATTCTATTATTTTTTTGATAAATTTATATGTTTGGTGAACAATTTAAAACAATACATTTTTTTTAATTGGTTTTTCAACAATTTTTATTTTTCCAAATTTTTTTACCAAAACTTTTTACGAATTTAATTAAAACGTCATTATTTTAATCCTTTATGTTTATAAATATACATAATTTACGGGCAATTTGGAATCCCGGGAAATTTTAACCACGAATATGAATAAGTTAACTAAGCAATTTTTAACTATAACCTCTACATGTTTTATTATGAATAATTTAAATCAGTTATAAACCTTATTAACGTTTTTATTACACACCGAGTTTGTTTATTTTGAAACGTACCGTATAAACTTCGTATTATTTTTAAAACAGATTTTTATATCCTATACAGCAGCATTCGATAGCTAAACAAACGGGGTCTTAAAAATATAATAGATCTGTTAAAAAGATTAGTCAGTTAACAGTATCTTTTTGTTATTTCCGATGGCGTTTTCGTACTTTTCAAGACACTTGTAGTAGTTTGTACACGTATAATATCAATTCGACCCCGGTTCGTGATTACGAAAGAATGATCGACGATGTACCGAGTATTTTAATTTCATTGTGTGAATTGGACCGTTTTTTCTCTAACTTAGGAAAACAAAGGTACGATCAATGCACTAGTACAAACCTTTCTAAAACTAATGAATTCAAGTGTAAATATGCAGACAGAACGCTAAGTGCCATTCGGTAAATCGTGTAAAAATAAATAGGTAATAGTGCAACTCTAAATAATAATATACTAATCAATGCTTCCATGAATATTTTACAATCATTATTAGTAATAAAACTGACAAAGAGTTGTTCGAGAACGATACGAGGACAGCTGCTGGTGTATATGTGTTGGGAGATCGAGTCTAGTGGGAGTTTAGAACGAACACTGTCGACATCAAACGGTTGCAGCGATGCAAGTGAAGGGGAAAGAAGTAATAATAAATTAAATAAAAGACATTGTACGAAAAAAAATTATCACCATATTTGAATCGTTTAATCACCGTGATAATGTATGTGGTTCAAAGAGTCCGGGCAAAATCAAAGTAGCCGGGGAATGTGCACATTTCACGAGATTCCACGTCGCTTATAAAATATTATGATATTATATAAAACAGAATTTGATTATCTTTGTTATTTTAGGAAATATCGCAACGAGTATATTATCTCCGTGAGGCGCAACGTATACTGCACAAACAACGATGAAATATTCACGACATATTATTATTATTATACTACAACGTTATTAGACAAAGTAAAAGGAATTCCGATAAATATGTGTTTCGAATAAAGAGCATAATATCGTCAGACGGAAATTCCGCATATTTTAAATGGAAAAAATCGGAGTATTTGTACTACCCGAAAAAGTGTTTTCCAAGTGGCCGGGGGTGGATACATCTCGGTAAAACTGTAAAACTGTAATACCGTTATAATAGCTACTTCGCTAAACTCGCGTGGATCTAAAAATATAATAAAGCGAAAGGAAAAAGAAAAACTTCAATAGCGTCGACTGCATCGGCGAGGGGACGTCGGAAATTAATTAATAAACAGGTAGGTGCACGTTCCGGGATCCGGTGTAGGACGTTAATGCAATTTTATTCGAATGACTACCGGATGAAAAGCAAAAAAAAAAAAAACAAACACTATACCATAGCCGCGCGCGTCTGCATGGCCGGATTAATCCCGAGGCCGAGAAATTTATTAGATTACGGGGGCGGCGGCGTCAATGTATACACGCGTATTACGGCGTATAATAACGATAATACGATTATTAGAGCACGGCGGTAACGTCGTCGACGGGACGGCGTTATTGTGTACGATATGTGTAATGTATTATCGTTACGTTATTATCGTTACGTTTGTACGCGCCGGCGGTCCGCGAAAACCGCGAAAGTCACCCGGGCCGCGGCGTACACCGGGTGCGCGCCCGGCCACGTGAAACGCGAGAACGGCCGCGGAATGGCGCAGCACACGCGCGGCGGCGGTAAATAACCAATCGGCCCGGCGGCGGAGAGCGGCGGGCTACGGCGTTTCGCGCCCGAACGGAATAACGTCCGCGCGCGGCGTCACTTATCGCGGCGGCGCGGGGCGCAAACGCTAATTTTAAGCCACTCTGGCCGCCGCGCCGCCGGGGAGAGTAGACGACTATAGGCGACCGAATCACCCGCCGATAAAATATAATACAGGTAGCCGAAATGTATATTCATGTAGACGCGTACGTCTCGAGAGAGAGAGAGAGAGAGTGGGACGGAGAGACCGCGAGACTCGCGCAAACCGTTCCGCGATTAAACCGTGTATAATTGTTGCGCGGAGCGTTTTCCTCGGGCCGGACCGCGCCTACGCAAACGGACGCGGCGCAGTGTTTGCAGACGTCGTCGCGGTATTTACCGTCGCAGTCGTTCGTGCGCCGCCCCGTATTGTCGCTAGACCCCGCTGACCCGCCCCGAACCCGCGGACCCCCGGACAACCGTTAAAAATGTCGACGCGCTGTTTGTCACGTTGCGACAAACGTAATTCCGTCCGAAAAATACGAAGTACACTAAACGGCGGGTCGTGAAGCGTTCGGGCGCCGGTTGTGCGCAGTGTGTGCATATTCGGTGGTTACGAACACTGATACGATTTTAAGCGGACGGAGGGATGTCATAGTGTAATACTATGGAGGAATTTTGGCTGTGGCCGGATGACGCGGACAGTCGCACACAGGCGCAACCAGAGGGTGTTAACGCCATCAATTATCACGTCCGAAAAAAACCCGATCTATGTTTCATAACCAATGAGCAGAATACAATACAGGTTTACTACAGACAATGTATATAAATTTGAAAAATAATGTTAAATGCTTATGATTAATGTGTGTATAGACGATTGCAAATGTAAAGTATAGTTGATTATTGTAAGAATCGTGTAAAGGAGATGATGGGGGCACAGCTCCCGTGGATCTTTGATGTGTCCGCAATTTTAGCGTCCAAAAAGTTGGAGGTCTAACTATCCCTTTGCGGTTAAACCGTTAGACGAGAAACGTCAACATTTGCTTCAAACTTTTGCTAAAAGCATGACGTATGACGAGTGCGATAGTATGCGGGGTCTGACAACGTGTGTTGGGCACGGAATAATATAGACAAAAAATAAAAACAACCAATACTGTGAACGGAAGTTCCGCTGTTGAAGATGGAAAGTTGGGATATTTTATTTTGTATCCATAAGTTACAAAAAACCATTTCTAACGAAGAACGATTCAGAGTGAGATTATACATTAGGGTGCAACTCATTTTCGAAGTTGTTAATTTTAAAGAGCAATGGCCGGGAATTTGTTCTATTGCATCTAAAAATAGTTTCTGTAAAGTTTGAAGTTTATCGAAAATAGTTGACACGTGGCGACTGAAGGTCAATTTTTAACTAAAAAAAATAAAAAATAACGGTTAACGTCGCATATTTACTTAAACATTTTATTTTACAAACAATTTTATAGAACCATTATTGTAGTTCGAATTAGTTTATAAATCTAAATTTAATCTTTATATATTTAAATAATAATAATAGTTGGGTTATTTTATATCTGAATTGCACGCAACTTAAAATCGATAGAGTACCTAGTATAATTTCACTTTGTTCGAAAACGTACGTCTATCGAGAATATTGAGTTATTAGTGTTATTATTAAGTATTATAGTATTAGTGTTTTGTTTATTTTTTTTGAAAACTGCGTTTATTTATATATTTCAAGTATGACATGTTATCCACGCATATTTTTAGAAATGCCTAATCGTGAACAAATTGTTCTCCTTGATAATATGAAACATCAAATAACCGGTTCGAAATTACCGTCAAATGGTGACTGTTTACGAGTTCTGTTTTGTAATATGAGGATTTCTAAATTAAATTTGAATGAAAGCGTTATTTTTGTTGTTGATGAGTGTATAGGTTTTCGGAAGAAGGCAATTATTCCTATTAGTGATACTCACAAATGCAAAAATAAATTTAAAAGTATTTATAATAATTGGCGACAACTATAGAAAAAACAAAAAAAAATGACAAATTGAAACAAAGAAAGTAGAGTTTTGTAATATTAAATGACTTTTTTGATAAAGCCTATTAAAACGTTTTAAATATTATAAATATTGAAGAAGACTGACAATTTTTACTCAAGCAATGACAAAAACGTTGAGTAGGATCAATTATTAGAATTGATAAAAAAATTTAACGAATATCAAATTAAGAAGGCAAACAAGACGAGAAAATTATGACAAAAAACAAGAAAAAATGTTAAACACTCCATCCACATCAGCAGATGTCTTTTTAAATTTTTCATTTTCCAAAGACTCAAGTACTGAGTCAGAAGCAGAGGTGTTTAATCAGCCAATTACGAGTGTACAAGAACAAATTTCCCGCCAGCGCTCTTTAAAATTTGACAACAATTTTCTTTCTATATAATTAACTGGCATCCTATTATACATGTTTTTAAAGACTAAAATATGTATGATTTTCGTTAATATTTTATATTAAAACTTTAATAAAAGAAAATACTACATTACACACAATTATTATTATTTTTTTTTTTTACCATAAAACACGACTTATAATGAACCACTTGTCAAATTTACATATATTTCTGTTAAGTATAATAATTTTATTTACGGAGTGCATATGATGAATAAAAGTCACAAAAAAACTTGCAAATTTATATTGTTCATAAATATTTGTTTGAACTCAACACTTATTAAAATGTTTTGGAAATATTACCACGTTTATAAAAGGTAAATGTAAGTTATCTTTCTAAATATCAAGTCTCTTCGATTATTTTTAACCGAAACACAAAAAAAAAAAAAAAAACTTAAAATAATAAATTTCATACATTTTCCCATCTCCCCTAATTTTTTTCTGGATATTCCAAATTTTCATGAAAACAGCTTGGAAAAATAAAAAATGAACTCCTTAAAGTATCACCCAGATTAAATTACCGAACAGTACAATACTCACCCGGTTCAAAATCTAAAGACTGACAATTTATATTTTAGGATTGACGAAAAATCAACATAAATGTTATCTGATCCCTTCTATACCGCTGGAAGTCCAGCTAACAACATAATCGTTATCATAATCGATTTATTTTTCGTTGTCAAAAACATGCAGTTATTCAAACAGTCAATTAAAAAAAAAACAATAATAAATAAAAAATACCAAATAAACAGACACATTGGCTAGAATCATATTATGTCGCAGGAATACGTTCGCGAACATGAAAAAATAAATAAATTTACTTGGAGGCATCTGTCTCAGTTAGAGGCTAACTAAGCCGTAGGGCAGTCGGTCGATCACTATCGAAACCCTTACATTTAGTAGGCTTTACACCGTATTCCAGTGCAGGAAAATATTCGTCATTATGGTATAATACCTACATTGCTGGGCATATTTAAAGAAATTTTCTTCTGTGTGTTGATTTCATAAAATGTATGTAGGCTGGTGTTAGTGTAATAAGTGGCCTTTATCTATGAAAACTTGGTCCAGTTTTTTACCTCAGTCCGTCCTGGTATCAGCTAACGGCCTGATTGTAATCGTTTGCAATCATATTGTATTGCGCTCATTGAGTTCCATAAAAATATTGATTCCCTGACAATATTGTTAGATAATTTTATTCCATTCACGGAAAAAGTGAGAAACGAATTTTTAGTCTGCATGCCCGTTTATTAGTCACAGGGGTAAAAAACCATGCGGATATACTTCCCGGATATACCCGCCGCAGTATTATGATTATAATAAAATTATAACCGATCGATACGAATTAAGTTCAAAAGCTGCGGGTAAAATATTAATTTTGGCGGAAATGAAAATCGAACCTTTTTTTTAAAAAAAAAAAAATTAGCGGAAACGAAATGTTTTTTTTTTGTTTAATGAAAACAAAAATAGGGCTCCGACCACACAATTGTTTTCATTCGTCCTGTCCGAGTAGCGGGGGATTTGGAAGGACACCGGAAGAAGGGTTGAAAACCCCTCGCCGTTAACGTACATTTCACAGAACATAGTCTCGTAACCGTCCGAAAATATCGAGACTTTAAGTATTGTGCGTGCTATTTCGAATCCCTTCTGGCTGATTACCGAATATATTGGTTTTCGAGTTGCTATATATGAGTACCGAGGTCACTTGGTTGAAAATGTCTATTATAACAAACAGTTATACTCAGTGGCGACGATCTCAAGGTCTTACTGGGTGTAAATTCATCGGCACTTATTCTGAGCTGGTTGGTGAGTAAGGAAATTGTTTGAACATTTCAATATATTCAGAGATGGACTCCATTAGTTGTACTCGTAAAATACGCAAGCGGAAATTTGTCTAAACTCGAATTTATTACCATGTATGTGATTGATTGTACGAATCACATTGTAAAAACTGAAATTTCCAATCCGTATTTTAAACAATCGTTTATTTTAGAGAGGAAAAATGTTCTTACTTCTCGATGTTAACATAATTCATTTTTCTCCGTGGTTTTCGATTGTATAAAAACGAAAATTTTGAATTTTATTGTATCTATTGCTATAAAAAACTTAGGTAATATTTTTATTAGTTTTTAAATCGTTTTCAATCTAGAAAAAAACTTATTTACGACAATTCTATACATCAGCTATTAACGAGCGTTTCAAAATTCGCGTTTGGGGGTGTGAATTCGCGGCAATCCCCTTTTTTCAGATTGATCTTCACTTTTGAGAGGTCGCGGCAGTTGAATTTTTATCGTCTCCGTTTGTCAAATGATCAATTTAACACGAACGTGCTACTTTAAAAAAAATAAAAATATATATATATATATATTTATACATATTATATACTATATCGTTACACCTACGATTATGATTCGAATACTCAGTGGAACAAGAAACGTCCGTGAAGTTGTCTACAAAACGTTATACATTGATAAGGTAGATATAGATCGTCTATAGGTTTTTATTTTTTAATATAATATAAACGTTCGGCACTCAAAATCGATTTGAAAGCCTATTCGTTTGTTTGACTGCGACGGTGACGACGGTTTCTCTTAATAAAACAATTTACCCGTTTCCAATAGGCCGGAACCGATTAGGCAACATCCGTATTACCGTTGCGTATATTATTGTTATTCATTATAATAATCTCGCACGTGAAAATCGAAGCACTGCTTAATCGATAATAGCGGTATTATAGTCGGACGATTTAGCGGTTTCGACGGTCCCGGTCGGTTTATATACCGGGTGGCGTGTATCGTGGGCCTTTGTGACGGTTGGGGGCAGCAGCGGATAAGATCTGTTTGTTCAGTTCGGTACCTCGCCTGCGCCCGCCGAATTAACGCAAAAGCTCCGTATCGGAATAATCCGCGCACGAAATGCACGCGAAACCACGAACGCGACCGACTAATATATTATAATGTAATGCTACGACAATCTACATTACGGCAAAACCGTTCCGAACGAAAAACAAAACCTATTTTTTACGACAGAAATATTGCGGAACAATATCAAAAAAAAAAAAAAAAAAACATGAAATTCGACCATAAATATGGAAAGAGCAGGGATTGAAAGTTGAGACCCCTTAAAGACACATCCTTGATACTTACGTCACGCATACATAAAATGTCACACTACAGCTTCGTTTTGGGTAGTCTTTAGGGATGTAAAAAGCGAAAAAATAAAAACACCCTCAACCAGAAACAACATCGTTACATTTATATTGTAGTTCAGTCCGACTTTTATCGCTTCAATCCATCTACAAAACAACTCTAATTCCCGAGTTTTAGCTCATTTGGTCCAGAGGGAGCAGCTTTAAATGTCTAAAAGTAGCGGGAAAAAATAAACGTATATAATAGACACAATACAGTGCAACAGTATCTATTTTCGATGAATAATCGACATTAACGAAACAAAACTACAATATTGTGAATAAAAAATAGAAATGTGAAATAGAATCCCGAGCGTAACTGTATTATCTAAATAAAATATTTGATATAAATTAAAATTGAAAATTCTACAAGTATACTCTTGTTATCCATACGAGATAACGTCTACGGTTTTTTATGATTGGCGAATATTTAGTGATGTTACGCTCGATTTTTTTTCCGTTCACGTAAATAGAAGAAAAATTTCGACAGTTTCCGATGTAAATGAAAAACAGTTAATATATTGGGGAACTATAACACGTCAGCAAAACCGTCGCGGGCATTTCATAAGTATTATAGGAATGTAGGTATTTAGTATTCAGTGAGAATTTCGTTTCTTTACTTTTTTTTTGTTAATCATAATAAAAAATCGCTAAAAATCTAAAATAAAAGATGCCAAACATCCGAGATTAAATTTCCCGAACTATTTTCGAAAACCTACAGAGATATTACATACGTCTTATAATACGTTACGGTTAGTTTAATATTGTACAGACAAATACATAATATAAAGAAAAAAAAAATGTGAAAATAAATACCTTTTTTTAAAAAGAATATCCAAAAGTTCGACGTAGACAGCCAATTTACAGTTCGTAAATACTGGAAAACAATGTGGGATTTTACTCCCGTCACGACTATTTTTCATAAAAAATAAACGTCGGTCGTCCGAACACGTTGGTTCACAACGCGTTTTGAAAAGACGCTTCGCTAAAAACCGAACTCAAAACTAAACGGGCGCCCGAAAATGACGAAAGAGGCGTTTGAAAAAAAAAAAAAAAAAAAAAAATAGTAAAATATAATTTCGCGCGCGTTATTTGTGTAAGTGATACAAATCGAATTCATGGCCGACGCACATTCGTTTCGGACGGAAACGACAAAATAAGAATACGGAAAAAACCGAATGCCGGCCACGTGGTCCGTACTCCGATCGTGACGCTCGAAATATTATGCGTTCGTTTGTCCAACGGGCAACGGTATCGCGGGGCGCGGTATCGCCGGAAAACGAAAACGAAAATCGACGGGAGAAAATCGTAAAACCAACACGCTCTATCGCAGACGATAATAAATTACTATGTGCGCACTCGCGGTGTGTGTGTGGTACGTGGCGCACTGTGCACCATGTTATTATGCGACCGTCGGACGTTTAATTAATTAATGCGCACGCGTTTCGGCCATCTATTAGCTGATTGTGAGCGGTCAGTTTTTAATATCCTTGACGGAACGGAATGGAAACGCGCATTAAAAAAAAAAAAAAAAAAACCCATTTTCGCGTTTCGCTTTTACAACGTACCTGTCGCAAAATACCCCGCGACAAATAGGATTTTCGTATTATCACTGTTATCGTTATTATATTATTTATTTATTTATTTATTTACTTATTTATTTTTTTTTTCGGCTAAAACGGTTCGAAATAACAATCTGCCGGTCCGCCGCGCGGTAGTATTATCAACCGATTTTAATTGTACATTTCGAACGTGCTCGGATACGTGAATAAAAAAAAAATAAAAAAAACCGGTACGTAACGCAAAGTGCGGCGCGACGAACTGCGAACAATAAACGTTTCAACGTTAAAAGTGAGATTAACGGCTGTTTTATATTTGAAAAAAAAAAAAAATTAACAATGAAAATTCGCTTTTCACCGGCTGTGTACAGCTTCTCGTCAAAAGTCTCGTCACTCGGATTCGTCGCACCCCGTGCAAATGTAAATACGTGTGCGGAAATATATTCATTCGAATTCCCGCGACGGAAAATCGAACCTTCGGGTTGCATTCGCGTAACAATATAATACCTAATTTCGACGATCGATTGTCGTTAAATTTGATTTTCGTTGGATACTCCCGGTTCACATCTTGCCCGATAACTTATTCGTTTAGACTTCGCATACCGGCCCGTACGTGTGAAAAAAAAAAAAAAAACCTCCGTAAAAAATAATATAATCTGAAACGAAAAAAGGCTCCGGATTACAACTACCGCTAAACATTAAATCGTGATCTTATCGGCCGAATAAAACCGAATTTGTTTACGGGGTGGGGGGGAGGGGAGGAAATAATAATAATAATAAAATTCGATCCCGTGTTTTTTTTTTTTTTTTTTATATACATGTAATATTATTATTGCACTCGGAAGCGGTTAAAAAGACGATTTCGTTTAGTCACGTTCGTTATACGGAACGTGTTTTGAAATACGCGTGTAATCGATAGTAAAAACATGCGGAGGGGAGAGCACGAAATGATTTATACAGTCTATTGGACTTCCCCTACGAGACAAAATAACATAATATTTATCTTACATATTATTATATTTCTGATCCACTATACAGTCAAAGAAACTGTTTTACTATGGGACGGGGTTATTTTCATTTTCTCTTGGCAAATACTTATTTGGCCAGTTAAAAATGTTTCAAATTATTCACGACGTATGTTAAAATAAATGGATATTTTGACGAGTGCCCTTCATTCGGAACGTTTTTCTACTCGAATTCTCGTCAGTTTATCTAAAAACATAACTGACAACGAATGACAAATCGATTTTATTTTCGTCCGTTTCTTGATTTCCTATCCATAAATAGTGAACTACGAGGGGAAAAAACACGAGCAATATACTATTTCTTTTAATTGCATAATAATCGAAAATATTTTTTGTCCATTTGTTTGTATTTTAATTGACCAGCCAGTATTCTTCTTATTATAATTATTTGAATTACGTACACTTCTATATAAAATCTAAATGGCGGTTCTGAAAATATTTATACAATAATCGTAGACAATTTTTTTTTTTTAAATGTATTATTAAGTAAATTTGATTTAAAACATTTATTCATGTAATCAATTAATCAATGGAGATTGACAAAAAACACCAATAAGTGAGCAGGTGAGTAAAACATTTATTACATTTATTCTTAATTTTCTTGTAAAATAATGGATTTGAGGGAAATTTTTAAAATTATAATTTTTATAGGAAATATAAATGTTAATAATAAAGTTCAATACGCTTTTATTGTAAATATAATTGTTTTCGAAAAAAACGGAACAACTATCCCCAATTTCAAAAATTCAACCCTTTTGGAGCACGTATGATAATCAACTATAGTTGATCAATTGAGACAAAATTGTATAAACATTATTTTTATTTGATAAAAAATAAATCTGGAAGGACTCTGTATCAAATTTCTGCACTTCAAAAATAACGACCGTTCTAATATATATATTATTGGATACAGGAAAGAAGGGCGCAGGACAATTTGCGGAATTGATTCTTTATGATATTGTTGTACCCACGTAATTCTTTTCCTATTATTTTTCAAACTAAATTGCACAAGTCAATATTTTTTTAAAATTAGTGTATGTCAAAGTATTCGTTTATGTATAGCTGGTATATTTAATTTTAAAATTAAATGTTCTTGTAATGAAAACAGTACAAAAATGACTTGCGCTCTTTTTTTCCTGGGATCAAAGGTATATAAACTAAATGGAAATTATTCTTTATATCCCAGCTTTCCGCCTACAACAGTGACCTATCTATGGTGCGAAGTTTGTCCGGTATATATTATTGTTGTTTGTAGTTAGTTAACTTCAGAATATTATTATTGATTTCAGGGCTTCATTTTATATCGGTCATGGTTATACCATAGGTACTAAACTTATTAATTTTCAAAAGTTTCACACCCTGAGCGAACTTCTACAAAAATAAACTTTCCAAAATAGTAGACATAATATATTATTATGTAAACTCTTTCGAAACCATTAGGTAGTGAAGTCTTGAAAATTAGAAATTATTAGCGTAATATATAAAATGATATTATTTTATTAAACTTGAACTTTAAATTAAATTCAAGTCAATAACACTCTATATTTACTAGGTCGTACATTATTTAAACCCCGAAATCCTAAGTGAAAATAGTTCCGAAATTGATTTTAAAAAAATCCCATAATTTGTTGAGAATTTTATTTTGGCTCTAAACAAGTGTTGAATTTCGTGCCGCATTAAAAATTTTCGTGTTTTTAGAAATTTTAGTATTTTGATTTAGCCTTATGCTCAGTATATCCAAAAACTACTAAACCGATAAGTATTGACTAAAAATTAAAATGAGCTAATACTGGAGATGGGAGCGGCTACTGTTGTAGGTGAGAAGATGGGAAGGTAGGATATATAAGGTTATTTCATTTATATCTGTAAACAATGCTAAACCATTGCCTGACGAAAGACGATTCCGAGTGTAGTTTGGTAATAAATAATTTGAAGTATTATAATTTATTTTTCGATTTTCGTTTAAATTTGATTTCAAGACGCTTATTAAAAAAAAACGAAACACGTCGACTGATGATTTTGAAAATGTTATCATGTCAAGGTAAGTCCAATACAAGTATTATCATCAAGTCTCAAGTTTCAACGTGTATTTATAACCGAATTACAGTAAGAAAATCGCAAAAATTAAAACTCCTTAAAAGCTCAAAAGTTTTGGAAATGATACTGTAAGAAAGAAAATCGAAAATGCAATAAAAAAAAAGTTTCTTGTGGTTTTTCGATTAAACCATTTTTTTCTGGTCAAGTTTTACAACGTCGTTGTATTTATATAATAATGAATTCGTGAAATTGTACGTTCTCCCCACTTAAGTGATTTTATTTAAAAAATTGCTTTGAAAACCAAAAAATAACCTTTTAAAAGTGTCATCTAGATAACTTGAGCTTTCAGAAAAGTCATTATACATAAAAATCGCAGCTAGTTTACTACGGAAAAATGTGTCCGACAATCTAGGAGAAGAAAAAAAAAGAAATAAACAGCATTGTAAAACCAATTGCTCTCTTGCTACGTTCGGAATACAATACCTACAATCCTTTATCGAAGAATAAATACTCGTTTTAAGTTGTAGATGTTTTTTTTTTTTTTTTACAAATATTTATTTATCGTTTCCAAATACATACGACACTATCAAGACAAATTTATTTTTTCTTCAAAGAAAGGTAATTGTAGGTATGGTTCTTACCAGCTTAGAATCTTTTCGGATCAATAATAGCTCTAAACATTGTATTAAACACGCGCATTTTTAAATGGAAATAATTTAATCCCCGGGGGACGTCGCCTAACGTTGAAAAACAAATCTGAACAATCTGTGGGATTTCGTTTAACAATTATTTTCAAATAGTTATTTTTTTGTTTAGAAACTTTGATTTTCACCAAAACCTCAAGCGATAAACAACAGTCTCATACTAGCCGCATTTGTATTTAATGAAACGAAACTTAGTTCAAACGATTAAGTACAGTAATTGTCGGCAAAAATATTACGAAACGCGTGAAAATGGATTTCCGTTTTGTAGTCATCTAACTGCATGTACGACTGTGTAATTTCCTATTGCACCTGTTATTTCCGTGGCGGCGGTTTACACTTGTCGGAACACGCTGCAATTTATCATTGGTTTTTGTCTTATTATTTATATATAGGAATTTACTATCGGACAAACAATAATCGGGTGTAGCGTTTACACGTCATACTGATTTTGGAAAAGACTTTACTGCTAGGTGTTTGCACATAAATATATTATCTAATTAGTGTTTGTACTTATAGAAATAATTCATATGGATAATTTTAGATTCAGAGCGGAGCGGTTTTCAATCAGAAATCTTGTTCCGATCCAAAAATGCCGAAAGACATTTTCGTGTTTTAGGTGAGACGGCGACAAACAACACAATCAATTCAAAATATTACCCAGTACTGATTATATTACTGCATATGATTTTTTCCTATTGGATCATTCAGCTCTTTTCTTATTTTTATCTAGTCTATGATGTCTGTCGACAGTTATTTTTTTGGTGTTTATCTAGATAAGTATACAAAATAAAAAAAAAAAAATGCGTTATAATGCGTTCAAAATGCGTTCCACATTTTTATAGATGTATAATATATAGTTTCAAAAATAAAATAAATGATCCGTACCCTAAGTCCTCGACCGATTGAAGTATATAAGAGAACGATTTTTCAACCTTACCAAATCTTATATATTTTTAAAAGAACCAGATTTGTAGATTTTTGTAAAATCATTATATTTTTTTTTTATTGGAAGAAAGAAAATGGGTTTTCCACTGTTCTAATCAGTTAAAATTATTTAATATATATATCTATACTAGTTCTGTTCTGAGTGCAATATAGTGTAATATGTTTGAAATGCCCTAATTTTTTACGATTTCCGTCAAAATTTAAACTTATAGCGTTTTAGTTAAACAACAAACTACTGCATTATACTTAAAAAAATTTTATATCACTAAGTACAATTTATATTCAACGGTAGATAAAATATCCAACCATTGCTGCTCGACTAAAAAATTGTGTCCACATAAAAATCCTATAAATGTTTGCGAGATTAAAAAAACAAAATCTAAAATATTAAAATATTTAAGGCCTTAAATATTCCCGTTATTTTTTCCTGCGTTGTATTCCCTTTTTTTCTAAATTATATATATATAAAAAAAAAAAAAAAAATACTACTACTAAAATAAAATCAAATTAATTCCTGGCTTTCAGAAAAAATTTTAAACAAGAAAATCAGAATAAGATTCCTTGCGGAAAAGTGGTCAATAGAAAAACAAATATCAAAAAAAATCCAATTCAGTCTTCAATACGCTCAGAATCCAAAACAACGAAGATAGAAAAAATTCGCAGGTAACTAAATTAAAAAACCAATACAGAAAAAAATTCATAGGTAATTAAATTAATCAACCAATATGGAAATAAATGCTTAGGTAACTAAATTTATCAATCAATATATTACATATTTTGTCGCGCGGTGAAAGATAATATGAATGAAAATTATCTGAAATTTGTGAAATATTAACAACTATTTTCACGTTCTGATATAGACATAACAATTCAAATAATTGCATTTTTCCGTAATAATCTCGTTTGTTTACGGTTTTTGATAATGTATTGATAATTTTAACATGAATAATTCCATAAATGTCCCGAAGAAGAATACTACGATAATAATAGTTCATTCGTTCCTACACACGCGTGTAGGTATTTTGCATAAGTGACACGCCGTCGTAGGTTAATATAAATTTATAATATTTAAAAATATATTCATATTCAATTTAATCGTTAACGGTCAGTAATAAGAAATATTCTCTGATAATCTTTATTAGAGAGTAAAAAGATAATTAATGTAATTGATATATATCAGTTTTCTTTAAATATGAGAAATCAATTTTATTTTGTTTTTTTTTTTTTTTTAATATAACGTGATTATAAATAATAACAAGAAAAAAACTGTTGAGAAACAATGAAATACCCGGTACACTTAATATTATTTGTAACTTGTATTTGCTTAAAATTATTAAGAATAATATAATGATAGAGATAAGGTATGTTGGTTTTATTTAGATAAAACCGATAATACGCAGACAGATTATATTTTAGACGACTTTGTCTACGTACGATAACGATACTGTTACATGTTTTGAAAAAAAAAAATTAAAAACCCTAATATTACCAAGGTACGTAAACGTATACGTGTCTATATTCCGGAAAGTTAATATATCGTTTGAATTGAAAATTCGATTTAAAAACAAACCGGCCCTGAAAATTATTTCGTCTCATTTCGTTTTCCGCTCGGCGTGTTTCTCGCCCTCATTACGCCTCGCCGCGATTCGATCGTATATTTTACTGTTTGCGGTCCGTTTTAATATAAAAAGAAAAGCGTATTTGACTGATTCGCGGCGATTAACTTAATCATTTTACTTGTCAATGACGAAAAAAAAAAACAAATATATATATATATATATGCATACAATTATAATAATTCTTATAATTATAATTGCTTTGTGAAAAGATAATTGACAAACTGTTATGCGATGATTATCGTCGATGGCACAGATTGGATTTAATTAATATGGTTTTTTTTTTTAAAAGTTTAACATATTTTTATATATAAGAAAATCTATGAAAAAAGCGTTAATGATTTGGTTATATTGTTTTTTGCGATTTAAAATACGGAAAAATATTTTATATTATAAGTGTATAATACAACAGTCTTTAGCGGTCAGTGTCGGCGATCGATATAACCGGAAATCGTGTTTATTTTACTCAAAACCGATGTTCTTGGGGAAAAATGCCTATTGGGTATCTGGAATATAAAAGAATCGTTAAGACGTCGGGTTTTCATCCGATATATTTGTTAATTATTTAATATCGACTAGTGGTTATTGATTACGAATTTCTGGTAGTGAATCGGTTTTATATAATTATCGGCGGCGATCATAATTGGAGATCCGGAAATTTCGATATCGAAACAAAAAAAAAAAAAACAAAAAAATCATATCAGCTCATAACTAATAATGCTATTGTGCCCCGAATAATCGATAATATTTTTGACGGTGTACTGTCACATAGATATTGAAGGATTGCAAATTATGATTTAAAAACAAACGTGGTTGTAAATATATTGCGTATCGTGCAACGGTGTGTCTAATCGATTGATCCGGCCAAACTGAACGGATTGAATGGACGGGTTTACAATGATGTTGGCCACCGCGAAAATGATATTGGTAAGCGATCGATATGAGATTCGTTGACGCAGCGAGTTCAACGACGGCGACAGCGGGAACAAATAATATCGCCACCGTTGATTATGATCAACTACGGGCAAAGTGATAATCACTTACAATAATCGTTATCGCCGAACGTCTATTGGATTATTCAGATCGATCAATTAGCATAGAGCTTATTGTGCTCGACGGTGGTGATATTATTTTCTCATTAACACCACCGTGAACTCGTTAATTAGGTCCGGTAAGTTCGGTCAGATCAATCAATTAGCGCGAACCCACATAATGGTACAGTTTTTATTACCAAAGGTTTAACTGCGATGAATGCGGCCTTTCAGTGTTTCAATAGATACTTTATGACATAACAATAACCAAGAACCGTGATTTTTACTTCAATATTTGGACGTTTCTATAAACGTCTACACGGACTAAACTATGTCAACCAGCAATGCAATGAATATGAATCGGTATAATATAACGCATTCGGTTGTATCGGGATCTATCCGAGGCTTAACGGAACAGTAGAAGAATAATCGACGGTAAATACAAACACGAACAAAAGACGTCTTATTGATAACTCGAATCAAAAAATATTACGCGAATTGGCCAGCGAATAGTTCTCAAACTAATATTGAGTAGTTTATCGACTACTATGAATTGATATTTTTCGTTGTATCAAACCTTTTCTATCATGCTCTACTATCTACAGGTCTGTGTAAAAAATGGAATTTAAGTCATTTATCGTGTCATGATTCTAGGTCTTCTTCTGTTTCTTCATTCTATAACCGTTCCTTCAAAAGTGGTCTGTAGAAACATATGGTGTCTGCAGATGTGTACTAATTTTGTTTGAATACTCTCGAAGCACTTTCGCATATTACGTTTTTCGATTACTTGTTCTAAAATATTTGTTCAAGTTCTTCTCACTATTCAACTTATATCGTATCCACGTTTCCGTGGTTTTCAGTTCGTATTGGTCCGTGGCTCTTGTTTTGGAACTATATGTTAGCTAACGCGTGTTCTAGAACACGCCATGCAAAAGTGTTAATAAAAATAAAATTCTCCGATGTTATTTGCAGTAGAATAGAAAGTAAAAAGTGGAAGAAATATAAATGAACGTAAGAATTTGAATGACCGTATATTGTATTGACTGAATTGTATTGTGAAAAAAAAAAAAGAGTTTTTTGGGTTATGGATAAGAAGTGTATGTACGGTACAACAAATGGCGCTATAAAATAATATTCTTACCGCGTAGTATGTATAATACTGATGCACAGCGGTTTGTCCGTCGATGAGTATGTGTGTGTGTGTGTGTGTGTGTGTATGTGTGTGTGTGTACGTGCGTGATTATTATACGGTCATCGTCGCGACACATACGCACTAATATAAGGACGTATTATATTGAACACCGTCCGGCAACTACCGACTGCTCGAGATTATTTACATTATTCATTTATTTGCGACTACCTAGTTATTTTATATTACCGTTCTGCTACGAGGACATGGAAATAATCGCTTACCTCGGTACACCGCTTGAATTTCGCAAGAAGTTCGTTGCTCAAAATGCAAGGAGCCGGTATGAGAACGCGTAGGTTTCGATGAGCTGTTACGACAAACACAAATAGGTTTTCTAAATGTTTTGTCACCGGGTCAACTATGTCGATAGCTATTTTATTAACTATACTTAGACGTCGGGTCGCTAATAATAAGTGACGACTTGCGGGAGATGCATCCGTAATGAATCACTAACCGACGTACCGTTGTAATTGAATACAGTTAGAACACAAATGTACAAACAGTTCTTTATTCCGATTGACGACCAGTAACTGCGCTGTGTTTAGATCGTGCTCGAGTCAGACAAAGGCAATGTATTGTGTGTAAAAGAGGATGGAGCAAAAGTGAATAAATGAATACGTTTACGTGTGTAATAGATAACAAGGTGACGATTAGTATAACTGCCAGGTTTAAGGAAATATGGATTAACGAAATGCAGCAGCCCGCAACTGCTGTATAGGTTTGGAAAAAATATAGGCAAGGAGGATTGAAAATAAGCAAAAATAGTACGCTTCTGCTGAGATTCGATAAAAAAAGATTTTGGCGTCTGGCGTTTTACACAATACGCGGTCCCCACTCTGGCGGCTCCCGTATGATCACCGCTGTGGTTACTGTGGGAGGAGGGGCGTGCGCGAAAAATGCGCGTAATCAATTGTGAAATAATTTATGGCGTACTTAAGTGGTAACACTGTTATTTTCTATGACGGAACTGGTAATCGTACCTACTACGTCAGTTTGCTCGTTTATTACGTAAATATTGAATATTAATGTATTACAAATTAGTTAATCGATTTTTCTTGTTTTCAAAGGGTTTACTGACAAGGTCAACTTTTTTTTTTCTCTACATCTCTAGTCGAATCGTTAGCTAATTTACAGAAAGGCTTAGGGGAAACGAATACTTTCACGAAATATCGGCGCAATTTAAGTGACTCGATATTTCTATATATATATATATATATATATATATTTGTGTATTGATGTATTGATCGCGTAGGGTCAGCTCTTAGACTCGACGCGTAGGAATATGAAAACGAAAAGAGAAAAAATATCCGAAACGACTTTCGCAGCAGTAAAACGCGTTCAATTTTTGTCGTGCCAGTTACGTTATTATTGTACGCGGCCGTATTTCGCGGTGGCGGCGGCGGCGGTGTCCCGCGGATAAATATTATGTTATAATTTATTTCCCAATAAAATATTACGACAATAACCGTAGTTCTACGGTATTATTGTTTGTTTACACACGCGCGCGCGCGCGGTGCAATAATAATAATAATAATAATAGTCTCTGCTCTCGGGGCCGGGACGCATAATATCACCGCGCGCACGTCGGACCGGACTATCCGGCTGTGTGTGTACGCTTTCCGCGCGGCCCGGGCGGAAATATTATTATATCCAGTGCGGCTTAGTCCGACGCCCGCGTCGACCTTGGAAAAATAGAAATAAAGCCCCCCGGGAAAGGCGGCGTTCGCCCCGCGCGACGCGGCCATACCTGCGCGGGTCTTATCGGAACGCCGGCTTGCGGATGTGACGCGTACCCGCCGACCGTATACAGGGTGGCCGTGTGTGTATGTAAAAAAAAAAAAAATAAATAAATCCGCGAGCAGCGGAGCTCGGCCGCTACAAAGCCGCGTCCGAATCGTTAAAGGATTTATTTCGCGCGACTTTATTGACAACGATCCCGGTAGATTTTCCTCGAAAAATCGTTATCGTCCGCACTCTTGTTGGTGACGAGAATGATGTTCGGTCGGTAACGCGTAATTATCGCAAGAGCTCGAACGGTGGATTTTGTTTTTGTATCTTAATGATGTTAATATGATGTTATCGTAGATAAAAAAAAAAAAATGATAAACATTTTTTGTCGCCAATAATGTCTCTCGAAATCTTTTGACTGTTACCGCTTCAAATGCGGAAATAAAAAATTGTATCGCCGACTCATTTAAAAACATAAATATCGGCAATATTTGTAGAAGCATTTTATACACTTTGTTACAAGTAATATAGAAACTGTGCGTTGCCCTTAATGTTGGTTCGGTCTGGACGGGGCTAAATAGAGTCGATTTTTCCCCAGCTGACTTATCGCTGTTACAATATTTCATTTTTTTTTCCTCCTTCGCAATTTATCTAAAATACTCACGGTTGCCAGTTTTAGTCTGTAGTGATACAATATAAAACCCGGTGTTTAATATTATAACCTGCGAAGTTTGATCGTGAGAACGGTTGGCACCTGAATTAAAAGTCGAAACCCCCGAAATACATACAAGCGCTTAAGTAGGTATGTTTATAAAAAAATATCATCCCATTGTATTCATATGGGAAATCTTTAATTGTTTACAAAGCTAAAAAAACAATCTCAATCAGAAAAAATTAAATAAATTCAACACGACATAAAAGTCGGATTCTTTTCACTTTAATTTGCTTACAAAATTATTCTAATTCTCAAATTTGAGTTAATTTGGTGCAGAGGGAATCGCTAGAAATGTCTAAAATTAACAAAAATATTATTACCTATATGAAAAATTTTGTAATTTTGGGAAAAATTCAAAAAAAATAAGTTACTTTTCTTTTAACAATTAAAAAATTTATATAATTTTAACACAACCGGTAAATTCGGTAATATTGTATTTTAATCAAAGTTATCATATCATCTATTACAACAAAAATACAGAAAACTATAATATTATAAAATATTGTATCATCATATCTGTTACACACAAATTTTTAAATTCTCTAATGTTTCAACCATACAATTAACTAATCTAGATTAATGAAAAATGTTATCAATGAATATTGTTAAAATTACTTTTCGGTAAGACCATAGTAGAACAGAATTTAAACGTGACAGCATAAATGAGTTACCCTGTTTAACTTCAGTGTTTTTTTTTTTTTTTTTTGCATATGACTTATCGGCTTAGGCATATAAAATGTTAGTTAAATACAATAGATTAGACAAAAATACGTTAAGCTATGATAAATAAGTAAGAAATTATAACAAAGAATAGGTATTAGATAAATTTAAGCTTAAAATTACAATAATATAACAACTTTTAAAATGTGACAAAACTATCCTAAATTTAACCTAAACTACGTTGAAAAAACGGGACACAGAGCTGCTGAAGAACAGGACAAACTAGTTTAAAACAGTACTATGATAAGGAAAGTAATTCTTTTTTTAATGGTCGAATTCTTGTCGAAGATTTCCAGTTTGGTTTTATTTTTTTTTTTTAATATCGTTACATTATAACAAGCGATATTAATAATTTAGAATAGGATATTCGTTTTATTTCGCTAAAAAAATCTTGACTGTCGATACCTTTATTTAAAAATGAAAAAAAATAAGTATTTTAAAAATGACACGTTTTAAAATTTAAATTTAAAGATATAGAACAAAATAAAAATTACAAATTTATTGAATTTAATCCATTTAACAACGACGTGATTATCACTTAATAATTTGTAATTTTAACACGATAAAATATCGAGATCGTTATCAAAAATTACCTCGATTTCGATATTTAATACTGTCGTAAGTATCTACGGTAATGATGTACTGCATTTGAGTAGTGTACGTGTGATTAGATACCGTTCAGAGGCCGATAAAACTGATCAGAAAAGAAAAAACCGAATTCCAGATAGAAAAAAAAAATATCGGACATTGTATGTAACAATAGAGTACGAAAAATAACGTATTGGTAGATGGCATAATAATAATAATAATAATAGTAATATGCTAAAACGAGAACCGGGAACTGTGTGTATGTGCGCGTGCGTGTGTGTGTGTGGATGTGACTGTGTAAAGCTCTTAAACCAACAAGTGGTTTAATTAATTTTGGTTGAAAAAAAACTATAATAATAATAAAAACGCGTGTTATTTTTGATATAATGTTTTTGCACGCGTGTACATGCGACAGGAAAACATTTCGCGCGGTCTGCGTGTACGAAATGTTAATTTTGGTCGATGACTAAAAACAAAGCGCTCCTACGCGCACGATTCGGGAAAGTTATAACGAGTTTTAATTAATTTCTTTATATGCCCCCCCTCCCTTAAAAAACAAAAAAAAATTTCAACGCTTAAATAGGATATTTATATATATATACGTCGTATACGTTATTTCGATACGGTTATTTATCGTCCGTCGTAATGTACAATGTGCTAGCATTGATTAATTAAATTATTTATCGGAACCTACAAATTACAAATTTGCGAAATTTGCGCTATAACCCTATAAAGTTTACGCAACATAAACGTCAATTTATAAATTATTTATTTCGAATTTAATGTGCATGATACACACCGTACGGTTTTGTAAACTATTTTGTCCCGTGGTACATTTTCCAAAACGGAATACGAAATCGTGCATGTTTACTATAACCGTCGTTTACTAACGCCGTGTTCGAAATCGCCGTTTGACTCTATCGTAAGTACGATTTTTATTTCTGTAACGGTGGGATGTAAATAGAGTGGCGTTGACGGCGTGGATTACTCGGCAAGTATAATAAATGGGACGGTGTAATTTCGTGATATTCGAAATCGTTCCAAAAATGTATATGGGTAAAAAAAAAAAAAAAATGTTTAGATCCGTACATATTCGGTAAGTATCTGATATATTCTTGCTGTGGGTAGACCATAATATTATAGAGTTTCGTGTAAAAATAAAATAGGTGCATTCGAGTTCAATTATTGTAAAAAATCAGTAAAACGTTCGCATTTCACAATCTAAATGTAGAGAAGAATATATTGGCTTTACTGCAATATAATGTTATATATCTTTGCACATCTGAGCAATATTTTCTACCAGAGATCTGGTTCTAATTAACAAATTTAAAAAAAAAAAATAAACTTTTTGGAATGCTTGAAAATTTACCACGATTCTCATTTGAAAATAACCTTAGTGGTGAAAAAAAAAATTACTTTTTAGTTTATTTTTTAAAAGCTTCTCAAGTTGAAATTTTATTGGAAATCATACAAATCACGGAATACTATTGTTTAACCGAACCTTGCTCCAAATCGTACTTCATTAGCAATGGTTTATCATTGGTTGTGGATATAAAATAAATAACTTAATGTATCCTTACTTTCCAACTCCCCGTCCTACAACAGTTGTACCCATTTCTATAATCAGCTTTTAGTTTTTTTTTTGCGTTTTTCACAATATTAAATTGTATTGTTCAATTAGATATGTCAATGTAAATTTTTTAATTTAATGTTACAATAGTACGTTTAATTTCACGAATATTAAACATTTAAAAAATACTGAACATTAGTTTTAAAAGTTTTAATAAATGTTTACACGATTATTGTAAATGCACATTACAACGAGATATCTGGTATATTTTTTGTACACGGTAAATGCGCGTGTTTTATAGAAGTTTTTATCTCGATAAAATATTAGTCAACGATTAAAATATGATATTAATAATTATTGCGCATATAAAAATATTTCGAAATGTGCGCAGTTTAGCTAAGTATTCAATAGTCTTATAGACCCGTATACAATCGAATTACTATACAGAAAATACTTTCCTTTTCATTTACTTCTCTTTCATTTCTGTAATTCTGGTCAGCCTTCTCGGTTTTAAGTCTTCACCCGACACGGTCCCCACGTTGTCTATATCAAATCCCGCCTGTCCTTGTCACTTTAGATTGGGTTATCTTTCCCTTTTTCTTTTATTTGCACTTTATACACACATACATACATACATACATATATTTTAGTTTTAACATAATTTTCTATATTGTTTTTCTGTTACAATGTTTAAACTATCCTGATTTCCGTATTTCTCGTGTTATTCTTGGGCTCGTTCTGTATTATATGATTAGAATAATATATACGTGCATACATATATTTCATACGGTTTTGCAATTGAAGTTTATTAGATGTGGGATGAAAGAGTTTTTATTTTGTTTGTTTTAATAGATACAGTAGTTGGCGGAGTAACATAAATATTGTAATATTATAATTAGCGGACGGGAGTATCACAGATACTCGTTATATGAGAACGTGGGCGGCGCGCATGCCAACGTTTATATGTTAACGAAATACACGAGTCTATTTTTCATAAATGAATCGAAATACTCGCGCTGTGATTACATTACTGAAACGTTTATTCGATATGTATGGTGTGCGAAGTTTGGACGTTTATAAACATGCATGATTTGTGTGCTTCGTGTGCATCGTTGACTCTAACAAGCGCCCTAATCTCAGTTTTCACTTACCTTGATCGGCTTGAAGATCCAGGCTCAGATACAAGGAGTGATAAAATTGGAGTATAGGTATTAATAAATCGTATACAAATCACGGTTATTTTTTGTACGGCCACATAAGACGTAGTACTCTTTGCTAAGGGGGTTACCACTGTGGCAACCTTCTCCCCCCCAACTGACACGATTGATCGAGTGTGATTCTTACAATCGGTGGACCTAACTGTTTAATCGTGCGCTTTAATGCATTTGGAGTAAATTAATTCCTTATGCACATTTTCTAGAACAGATAACGCATTCTGTAGCATTTCTTTATTTCATAAGACATATAATACACATTCATACAGTTTTTGCAGAACATATCATCATCTATCCTAATCGCGTGTGTCCTAATCCCCCTCTGCAGTTTTTACTATCCCGTTTCATCAACTACCACCAGCTATAATTATGTAGAAAATAAAAACAAATCAAAAATATAATCAATTTAATATAATATGATATGATTCGCTCATTTTAGTAATATTTGTTTTAAACAAATTGCTCGTCCGCAACATAGGCATTTGGTCGTCAATCGTTACACAGATTTATACTCGAGCATCCAGTTACAAAATCAACGTTACCATTTTCATCATTAAGTATTCATAAACCGAAAGAAAACGTTTTAAAAAAATAATTGTTATTATTTTAATCGCCGTATTGTGACATCAGGTGAGCGGAAAATCACCTGCGTTTTAATTATTTTTGAGATATTAAAAATTGATAAAACCGACGTTGTATATTAAAAATACGAATTCTATACAACCGTCGATTTCATTTTTTGGTCATAATTCAATCCACATCGTTATATTAGTTATATAATTTCCTCTCTCCGAATGTAAAATTGAAAACTCCTGCAAAACAGGAAATTGTTCGGGGTACAGGATAGGTACCATTTTTTATTTTTATATTTCACACGGTCAGGTACGCTGGTATTTTCAGCGTTTGCGATGACATTTTTGAACGATTCGGAAGCTCAAGGATACCCGATGTATGCGGTAAATGGTAATTGGGGAAAAGGCGGGTTAAAATACGGAATTTATTTATTATTCGTACCTTCTTTGTACATCCGGTTTACTCACAGAGGTGTCCGTACGGTTGAAATATTCAGGCAATTCACTCGGTTGCACCGTTTTTCAGTATAAACTGCCTGCAATTATACAGGGCGATAGGTTTGTCATAAATTAACGATCCGGCAATTAAGAAACTACAAATATATAAATTATTTCGAGTACGGTTTGAAGACATTGTACAGTTATTAATTATAACCGATGCTTCTTTAACGAGGAATGAACAAAACTAAACAATTAATAAACCAAATTCTAATTTACCTAAATTGTTAATAGACGCGGATAATCGCTGATCCGTGATGAATGAATCACTCTGTATACACTATGTTCACTTCCAGAAGCACGTTAAAATAATATTATTACACTCGCCCGTCGACGTCATCGCCGCCGCCATTTCAGTCCGTTTTTAATTGAAGTTACTGAATTATAAGAATTCCGCACACTTTGAATATTATTATCATTATTTATAATGAAGTTTCATTGCAGTCAAATCAAGTTTTATCACATGGCGTTTTATGTTTATTTTGCCAGTTGTAAATGTGTCGGACACAAAAATGTTTAGATACTGTTGGATAATATGGACCAATATTGAACAGTAAAATATGTCCAAAACTAATGGGTTATTACATTTTATAAGTTTATTGAATTTGTTTAGATCATGCATTAAAATTTTAAACGAAATGTACGAGGAGTCAAAGAAAATTATAGCAAACCACGTAGGTAATATTAAAAAATAAAATAATTTAAACAGATTTTTTTATTTAAAATAACAAAATTTGATGTATGCTATCGTTTTATTTTACTGAAACAATGTTTAAATTCGATAAAAAAAAAGAAAAAATATATATTTTGACTGATCTGGAGTCTAAACTTATAAAGGTAATTATTGTATTTATTTTTACTACGGATAAACAAAATTGTAATTGACCCCGCAAGACTGGGATTCATAATACCAATGTTAAGATAACCATAACAAACGGAAAAAAGTAGAAAAAAATTATAGATATAACGACAAAAATTTACGGTGCGCCCCGGCGTTTGCGGTTTTATTGTTTTTAATTGAAAAAGTGTAAATACAAAAAAGTTTCCTTGATACACTGTGAAAGTACATGTACCGTTTCCGACCGACACCGAGAATATAAAATAAAAAGTAATATTCCCAGCACGTAAAAAATATCGTGAATTTCCTATACCTACCAATAAATTACATTTTCTAATTTCAATATTTTCCCGGGGTGTGCTTATGTTATATTAAGGATCCTTTGACCGTCTCAAATAAAACAACGCTATAATTAAATTGTAATTATACAGACACGCTGAATGAATAAAACGATACGTGTAGGCGTATTTAAAGGTTTACGAAAAAAAAAACCTTGTCGGCAGTAATATTTTAGATTCTCAATGTATAGGTTTTACAATGATGTTTATTTTTATTTTTCTGTAAACAAATTAATCATTAGAAATCCTGCTCAGATTTTCAAGTGTAGCACTTTTTCTAAAAGGAAATCATAAATGTGAAGAACCGGAAAATGGCATAGGAAATGTATTTATTTTTTTTGGGGGGGGGGCGGAGGGAGATTCAATTGGAAAAATTCTTAGAGACTTAAAATGAACAATGATATTTACCTTGTCTGAGCCTGGACAAATTTTCAAAATATTTTAACCACTTTTGAACTATTTATAGATATTGCAATTATTATCCGAGAATTTTACGTAATTCTATTCGAAAGGTAAACTGTGGATAAAATTGTTGGGCCAGACAAAAATGTTTAAAAATTTAAACAGAATTATAAATCGTAATTTTCGGTCCAAAAAAAAAAAAAAAAAATATGTATACCAAATGTAGAATTTTTTATACAAATTTTAGTGTCAAATTTCGACGAAAATCGTAAATATTAAAGCCCTTCAAAATAATGAATTTATAACCGAACTCCGCTTAGAATCGTTTTCCGTTATCAAAGTTTAATCGTTGCGTACAGATATATACTAAACTCCCCTTTATATTCTACCTTCCCAACTTCCCAATAACAACAGTGGACCGCCCATCGTGCGAACTATATTCTTTTTTTCTCTCACTCTGTTTATAATAGGGTATATTATAATAAAATTTCTAAGGGAAGCCCACTATATGAGCTTTCTAATGTCTCGATTTCTAAAGGCATTTCAAACAATTAACTTTAATTCTATTTATAATTTTAAAAGGATTCGCTAACCTAATTTATTATTATGCTTACGATGAGTAGAAATTTAACATTAACTATAACGGTTTTATCTATAAACAATGTAATGTAACACCTTTGTCAATTATATATGTAATATATCTCCGAAAATCCAAGTATTTTTTTGTGTATGCGTCCGTAATATATAAAATAAGCGAATGAAATTATATCAGTAAAAAAAAAAAAAGAAAGAAAGATATAAACGTTAGTTAACACGATATTACGACATATATTACGAGAATATAAGGGGGGATTCGTGCTCGTGTAAAAAAGTCTAAAAGATTAAAAGGGAAAAGTATAGAAATCATATGTATACATAAAAAAAAAAAAAATTCCATTGACATTCTACCGCTTTATTTGATCTATACAGTCGTTCCGAACATTGAATACGTGGTTTTGGAATTCATCGAGTACTTTATCATATTTTATTATAATGAGCGGTTGTTTTTCTTCTAATTTATATTACGGATGTAACGACGAGGGCCGAATGAATTTCCAATCTTGAAAACCTTTTGATAGGATATTTTGACGATAGTTTTACGATTATCGCGGTACGCAAAACGTCGGACGTGACGGCGAATTATTGTTATGTATGTATGTCCCGAAATCTCGTGTTTACACACTTGTGTAGCTGGAAGTTCACTCGTAAATAGCGAAATATAATATTATTAAATATCGTTAAAAGTCCGAACGCGTCAAAAATCAAATAAACGTTCGATTTCGTTTGATTACGGCCGTACACAAATATAAAACGCCGACACTCGCAGATTTTATCGGGCCTATCTGTTCATCACCCACCACACCAGGAAATCGCAAAAAAAAATAGTAAATGTTGTCGAAATTAAAATCACTTATTAGTTTTGCGGAAGTGTCGAAATGTTAAACAAATAATTATCAATTTATTATTTAATATAATAATAATACACAGAATGGTCTACTTATTACGATACGCAGCAATTTTCTCGGAGGGTCTTAAGTCAATGCGAAACTCAACCGCCATTAATTATAAAAAATTGTCGGTATTTAGTTATTTAATTTTTGAATCCTGCATCAGTAAATACTTTTGGACCTAAATTATAACTCCCCCTCCCCCGTGAAATAGATAAATTCGAATAGACACTGTGTGTTGCTAAAAATGTCTGTATGCATAACACTAAATCGGATTTACCGTTTACGAATGAAAATATAGTTTAAAATTTAGGATGGATAGTAAATTGCGTAACCATTTTTTCACGAAAAATACATAATCGTTCGTTCCTCCTCCGGTCTAAACTTTAAACTGTTATGACTCATAAACGATAAATCTCATATTATACGCGTTTACTGTTATTACGCTTGTAATAACATTTTTAGAAAAATACCCTACGTTTGAACGCGTTTGAATGGGAAATCAAGGGAAGTTTTATTTGAAAATCCAAAATGTATACTCGTTTCCGGTAAAGTAGGGGTAAAAATTGAAAATAATATTAAAACAACGATAAACGAACTTCAAAACTTCCGGGAAAATCGCTAGTTTATTATAAGTGGATCACCCTGTATACTGTATAATACTGATACTTTTTTTTTACATTCACCTCTCTCCCCGTCACATAACTGCAATAATTCTCCGTCCGTTTCGCGCGCGTTAATAGACAGTAAAACAAATTTATAACTAGAACGAAAAAAAATGATACGCTCAAAAGTCGGGAAACTCGAGTTTCGAACAAATCGGCCGAACGTTTTACACTTCGGTTCGGCCGTTTGTTTTATCGCTTAAAGTTTTTATCGTTATGAAAATATATAAAACATTAAAGGAAAACTGTTCATAAACAAAAGTTACGGCCGATAATAATTGTCTTAAATTATAAACGAACATTGACTAGGCGACGTAAAATTGTTCAATGGTTCCTTTTCAGCGTTTTAATCGACACCGTAAAACAACAAATCCCAAAAACTATCGCACGTCCGTTTTGAATTTGCAAACCATCAAAATCCGATCGACAAAAACGTCGGCTGAAACACGGCCGATAAAAAAACGAAACAAATACATTTTTAACGGCCACTGTACACTACCGCGACCACAATATTGTTAATTTCGAAACGTCCGAAGACGCGTCGCTTCACAACGACAGTAATACAAGTAGGGTGGAACTATCGCCTATTTGCCCGGTGTCCCCGGTAATAGGGCCACTGATTTTTTATTTCATTCGTAAATAGTGTGATTTCGTACGTTCCACCGCCGTACGGTTACCGTTGTAAACCGAACACTGAAATGACTTGGCGTACGACGGCCATAAAACGGGAAAATGTAATTTTCGTAGACAGTCAGTTTTTTTCAAATTCCATATCTCCGCCCTCCGTGAAACCCCGAATAAGCCGATGTTAGGCAAAATTAATACGACCAAAAGAACGGAAACAATCAATTTTTCAATCGATTTCGCGGCGCGTGTCGGTCCACGGACACTGGTTTTGAACACGGGTAACCGTCGACAATGACGTTTCACATTACTAATACTGAAAACGGCCGAGGAAAAAATCGTTAGTATTTCGGCGACCGTCTCCAATATATACATGTATACATTGCACTCGTATTATAAATTTGCGACCGCGGTTTCGGTAATTGACGACATTCATTAATTATCGATCAATATTCAGCAAATAAAACACGTTCGACGGCCGGAATATACAATCAGGGTTCGTTCGCGTTCCGCGCGGCGTATCAAATACGAAACGCATACCGGTACGGAATTATAATATTATATTATTTGCATCGCGACGGCGCGATAATTTTATTATTTTTTTTTTTATTCGATAACCAAAAACGAACGCCGGGCGAAAGTAAAATAATAATAAATGTAAAAAAAAAAAATAGTAGCTCGCGGAAATCTCCCGAACTTTCCGAGAACATTCCGGGAGACGTGGCCGGACGGACGATTGCGGAAATCCGTTTGCGAACGGACGCCAGGCACTCGGAGGGGGGGGGGGGAAATAATAATAAAAAACGGCGTACGGTTATAAACGTTATGCGCGTGTTATATTGTAGCGTACACGCAACTGTTCGCACTTTTCAAACGTTTGAAATTACCGCCAACGTCAGTGCTCGCCGAACCGGTACCGGGTGGCCGTTCCGTTTCCGTCCGTCCCGCCGCGCTCTCGGCGTGCACGTGACTCGGTTGAAACGCACGCCATACTCGCGCGAATTCCCGGCGCGGAAATCTTCGGCGCGCGCGCGTTCGCCCCCGCGGCTAAATTACGCGGCGCGCGCTTCTGAATCGGTTCCTCGCTCGATCGCACTTTCGAACGCGCGGGGCCGGTCCGGCCCGCCAACGGCACCGTCGGTCCGCGGGGACCGCGGACTCGCGGTCGTCACAGCTCCGCGGCCGTCTGCCGGTGCCGCTCCGGCGGACCGCCGGGCTCGCCGGAGAGGTTCGGTCCGCTCACCGTCCCGCCACCCCCTCCCCCTACAACCCCTTTGCGCGTGATATATATATATATATTGTTCTTATGCGTCGTGTTTCTACCCCGTGTTTGTACAATTCGAAAATCCCTCGCCTCAATTACCCCTGTGAGCCGGCGCGCCACGGCATTTTAAAAAAAAAAAACGTCTTAAAAATATCGTACGCCGTGTGAAATATTGTGCGCGCGTTATTGTGTTCATCAAAAGGTCGGAGCGATCCGATTTTACGTCCGAAGAAAATTATAAATTCGAATCGGTGGAAAATATTTCAATTATTATGCCATTGTTTAGAATACGGTACTGGAGTGGACGTGCGCCCACGAAACGTCCCCGTTAGAAATGCCGGCATTAAAATCGCGGTGCACACGTTTTTAGAGGGATTCGGAAACGCAATAAATGAAATATTTTGAAGGGGAACCCACTCGAATAATATTCGACTGAATCCGTTCGATACGGCGAACTCTTCCTACGATAATATCGGTTTATTTGTAATCATTAATAAGGAGATTATAATATATTATGTTGTTCTGTTGACTATAATGCGATTTTTTTTTTTTCACTTTTCGTTTATCGTTTCGATTTGTTAGGAAAAAAAAAAAAAATGGTTATTTAATTTACTTTCACGTGCACTTAGGTTATCGCGAAACAAAAAAAAAAAAAAAAAAAAAAAAATGGTTATTTAATTTACTTTCACGTGCCCTTAGGTTATCGCGAAAAAAAAAAAAAAAAAAAAAAAAGAAACCCCGCGTTTACGTGTCGATACGCGCGTCATGCGAAAGTGCGTGCGAGAATACACTTATCGTAAATTATTATAATACGAATACAATGTGTGTAGATATAAACGCTGCAAACAATAAAACGTTAACGGTATAAAGATGGACTGGAAATTACTATATTTGTCGTTAGGAAATTAAAACAAACCAAAAAAAAAAATAAAAAATAAAAAAAATCGATATCGTACGCATGATATTAAACGATTACGTGCCCTTTGCGATATCAATATCATCGGTCAAACCGACGGTATTGTTTTCCCGGAGTCCCTTTTCCGACGTGGGTCTCGGTCGACCGTCCTTTTTGTCGTCATCGCACACGGCGTTTCCGGCTGCCATCAGGTCTCGCACACGACGGTCTTGTATTTTTTCTGACTCTCGCACGCAATATCATGTACAGGTATATTCCGTTTTATCCGACCGCGGAAAACGGTCTACGAGTCCATCGTTATAGAAACGTAATCTCCTCCGTTCGCCTGCGCGGACACGTGCTTCAACAATGTACACTTCCGGTGTCGGGAGAAGGCCTCCGGGACGACCGCGGTTCGGGTGACAGGAGGGCCGTGTTCGGACAGACAAGTTGCTCATAACGATTTCGTTTTTCTCGGCCCGGGCCGTAGGCGCGAGCAGGGAAGTGCGGTACGAGAATGCCTAGCCCATCCAGTATTCGAACGTAACACAATTCCCGGATCCGATACGTAATCTACCGAAAATAACGCGCTGTTGTATATTTAATAGTAATGATTGATCAACAACGTTTGAAATAAACTATTATCATCGAATAATAATAACAAATAGCGTCTGAACACGTAAAAATTCCAAATCAATTTCCTTTTTTAATCAGAAAAATCAACAGATTAATAATTCGACGGTACTTGTTACTGCCGTTAATAGATTAAAAAAAAAAAACATAGAAACATACATAAGCGTCTTGTTTAAAAAAAATAAACCCATAATCGAACCGCTGTTATAATGTAAAGTGGGTATTTAGATTAGTGTTTCAATAATAAATTACTAAATATTCACTACGTTCGCGGGTTAGCCTATGTAGGTTATTTTGATTTCAATGATAGTTTTAGGACAGATTGAATAATAAATTACCGGCGAAAATAAATAAATTGAAAATCAATATTTTCTTTCCTTTCCTCTTTACGCACTATACAACGGTGCACGATTTCCAAATGTCGATCACCAGAGGCTCGCGTTTTCGAACGGCGCGACGACCGCCGGGTGTTCGGACTGATCGAAACCGGGAGAGACGAAGAAGACGGCGATGTTTTTTTTTTTTTTTTTTTTACGCGCAGCGGGCCATTTTGAATATTGTTTATTTCCGTTAAATATATTAGACATTCGGGTGTTTCGCAGTATTATGGTATTATTATTAAACTCGAACGATACAAATATTGTCGCTGCGAACCGTTCGATTGAAAGTCAACATTTGCGAATGCACTCGTAAATTTATAAATATATATATTTCTGTATTACGATATAATAAAATACACGTGGAAAAAAAAATGGCTATATTATTATATTGGATTTTCGTATACTAATATTATTTTTGAATTTCGTTCCGGAGATTTTTTTTTTTTTTTTTTTATTTTATTTCCGTACACTTTTTATTGCATGTTAGAATACGATTTCGTAAATTTCTCGTCCGTGTGAAAATTGACATATTTCTCCGGAATAATAAACTTGCCGATTGTGAAATTATCATTAGACGCGATCAACTGATTATTCGTCGAAATCGACTTTTCGCGCAAGTATTTCGGTCAAGTATTATTTTTTTTACGTCCACCGCGATCCGGAAATTATTCTCCGTTGATTTTTGTCCGCCTACCAAAAAGACAACAAAGTATACTTTTTTACTTTCTTTTGTTTCTTTCGTTGTTTTTTTTTTTATTATTATTATTATTGTCGATTCCACGAAAACCTTTAAAAATCTTCTTTTCGCTATTTCATTCCAGTATTTTCCCCTCAGTGAGTTATGTATCGTTTGAACAGAATTGAATATAATACACGCTGTGCCGAGATCGCACGCTTATACACACGCTGAATTATAATAATAATTTATTGTGTGTCTTCGCGTATGCTGTTGTAGAATCGCCAGCGAAACGATCACGTTCAACTGTTACGATAACGGGAAATCGCGGATTACAATATATGTCCTCGGTAGTTGATACAAAACAAAAAAAAAAAAAACATATCCATCAGAATGAAAATATTATTATTCGTTATATCTCGTATAAAACAAATAATAATAAAAAAAAAAAAACTTTAAAACCATATTGCGTTAACTGAACTTATATGCTCGCTTAAATATTACAAACTGTTTTCTGTAAAACGACTTGTGTGAACGATAATTTATATTCGCGAAACATTACGTTCGTATTTTCGCTGCGCACGCGGTACGCGAAATAGTTTAAAAAATAATGATATTATTGCGTATATGAAATCTTATTTGTTCTCTGTTTATTTGTGCTTGTAAAAAAAAAAAAAAAAGCAGTGTCGGGAACGGAAACCCGGAAAAGATAAAGATGAAAAACAGACTTCGCACATGGGCGGGCTGCCGTAGGTGAGGCGATGTAATGTTAGATGAATTGATCCAGAAAAAAACATCCAAATCGGTTTGATTGTGACTTTCGTTTTGTCTAAATAATGAAAAATGAGTCATTTGAGCCGTTGTCCAATTGGAATAATTGAATCGTTTAGTTAAATTTTTCCGAAGAAATCTATTTAAACGTAACCGAAGAAATCCATGAGAAATAATAGGTAAAATATTCAATTCGTGTCGCTGAGAACCGATCGATTAGTTATTGAGCCATACACACCGCACGACCGTCATGCGAAATTTAAACAACGCATACCAATTGGGTTCGGTACCGCGTTTAATACATTCGTTTTATTGACAGGTAACGAACGCAATTATCTTATTTTTTTACCTAGTTCAGAGTTCGCGATTATTCATGTTCGTCGAGATGGGAAAAAAAAAATCGTCGTGTATCATTTATCCCGATAAGTATTTTAGCAACTGTCACTTATCCCTGTTTAGGATATTTTAAATGTTATACAACACACCGATAACGGTTTTAAGTGTTTACGAAATCGAAAATTACCGCGTCAAACACCGGTGCCGGAAATCCGAGCGACCAGATGTGCGAACTCACGGCCCGGGATTCCCGTAATTCGTTACTGGTATCTATAAATTATTATCTGGCCATTACAATATTATTACGATCATCATCGTTCGGTCGGACTTAATATTCGGGGCAATAATCCCGACGTGGGTAAATCCAGAGACGCCGCGCGTCCCGTGGCCTTGATTGATGTTTGTCTTCCTAATTGTCTACCTGCCTGCGGATTTCCTGTTCTAAACGGCGTCTTGTTTGCGGTACGAGCCCGGCGAATGATTAAAACGGCCACGGGGTTTATATCAAAAGCACGTTCGCCTCGCTGCCGTTTACGCATAGTGTCGGCGGTAAAGTGGACGCGGACAATCGGAGACCGTCACGCGAAAACAACGAAAACGCCGCGAACATAATATTTACAGACTCGGGCTTGTGTTAGTTTTTTTGAAACCGTGCCGAATAACAATAATGATGATGATGTTCGATTCGAACCCCCGGAACAGTGAACATAAGAGAAGTGTCACTGTCGTCATACCGAAGAAACACCAAACAACAATGGTTTGTCTACGGAATTCAAATCATCCGCGCGATATTCGTACCGGAAGCATTCGGTGTTTAGCGGAATTATCACCGAGTTTCTATACGTGTTCGTTTCAGACGAAACCGCCGAGTGCTCGAAGTAAAATCGAGTTCTTGGACGAAGCCGGGCGCACGTGCGTTCGCGAGCACGTAACCAAATTTTCAAGTCGAGTGTCTATTTCCGAATTCGGTCCGAGAACTTTTTCCAAAAATGAGTGCGCAAGTACGTAACTCGAATGTACTCGTCCGGCTGTAACAGATAATAACGATTTGTGCGGGAACGCACAAAACAAAATGGATTGTGTCGGTAAAACCAAACGCTTTATCGTTTCCGCTAAATCAATACATTTTAGATTCTGAGTTTAGCGAATACGAGCGCCAATTCGTCGCGATTGAACGGAACGATTATATTCGAAACGTATTATTTATGTTCAAACAAACAAACAAAAAAAACAAAAAAAAGCTACGACTCGTGCCGAATGCACGGGTAGTCAACAATGATCAACGCGACAATAACGATTACGTTGAATAATTGGGCGTATAAAAAAATCCGCATTACCGATATTTGCGTGCGGTTATTTGATTTTTCGGGAAAAATCTCTTGTTCCGCGCGGACGCCGTAAAATCAAACGCCCGACGGGATTTCGCGGCCCTAAAAACCGCGCGAAATTTACGCTGAACGTATTACGACAATGTTGACCGGACGAAAACCGAATCCGATTGCAACGTGCGCGCGCGCGTGAATTTATGTTGATTTTTTTTATTGATTTTTTTTTTCCGACGCGTCCGATAGTTTTGAAACCGCGCACTGCGTACGGCGGACGCGTTGTCGCGGCACAACCCCGCGGGTAAACGAAACGCGCATTCGAGTGTCGGCCCGGAAGGAGTTGCAATGTCGCGGGACGGCGTGCCCCCGCACAGCGCGCCGCCGCGGCCGTAACGCCGGCGTCCGCCGTGACTTTTTGAGCCGGCCGCCGTCGGTTGTGCCGCCGACCCGTCCGAGAGCCGACGCCCGCCGCCCGCGCCCGATGCCTGCCCGCCGGCACGCTTGGGTCTCGCGCGGTTTCGCGTCTCCGTCCGATCGTCCGTCAATAATATTGGTCAAGTAATTGCCGCATCGCCGTGGCCGACGCGCGAACAATCGGAGTTTTCGGCACCGGACGGCCGCGGCCCCGCTTCGCGATATATTATTGCGCAAAGGCGGGCGGGTAGATGGGCGGGCGGGCGGGTAGTTCGGCGGGCGGGTAGTTCGGCGGGCGGATAGGTGGGGGGGGGGACAGGTGCGCCCATACCCGGCCAACTCGTCAAGTCCGGTAAACTATAACAATAATAATAATAATAATACGTAAGACGGGTTTAGGGAGCCCGCGCACGGTTGTCAGGCGTAGACGTGTAATTTATACGGCGAGTATAAAGCGAATAACCTTCCGCGATCGTTTCCGGTCGTTATATCGCGAACTCTCCGCGTACCTAATTAATGTCTTCCGAACGCGGAGTTTATTGCGATCCGGCCGCCGTCGCCGTTATTCCGCGGCGGCGGTCGGGTTTTGTGCGACGACGGTCCACGTGGCTATTATACCGCCGCCGCTACGCAATTTCAAACGGGCCGCGGACAGTTGTACCGTGAAAAAAAAAAAAAAAAAAAAAAAAAGACCGTATCCGAATGATAACGCGCGTTTTATTAATTTTTTCGGCGCGTCCTACACGGAAAATCTAAAAATCCTAAACGTACGGCGGCCGAATTTCGAGAAACCGTCACTCGGTCCCGAGAGCAATGCGATATTAATTTTGCGCCGCACTAGAAATTTCGCGGTGTTCGAAACGCCGCTACGAACGTTCAAAATAGACGAACACACTCCGCACGGTGGATGGGCCACTATAGACGGGTGAGACGTCGGGAAACAAGGGGAAATTTAACGCGCATATCTGTACGCGGAGATTGGCCGTCGCCAACGAAAAACGATACTGAGCGGAGTTCGGTTATAAAGGAAACGATCTTTCGGAGCTTACCTAAAACTAAATAAAATAGCGGCGGGAGGAGGGAGAGTTCGATACGCACTCAAAACTTCTACAGTTACGCCGCCGAACACTACTATACGTACTGCTATACTGCTATACTACTATATTGGTATTCCTAATGTTCCCGTACATTATTTTGGGATTGATTTTTATATTATTATTTTTTTAGAACATTATTCGTCGGCGTGTATTTTCTATGGAGTTCGAAAAATGATCTGCCTAACGAACCTCCCCACTTCAGAAATGTCGCTACACGTAGAAATCCGAGCAAGTCTTCTGGTAGAAAAGGCGTTGACAGATTAAAAAAAAAAAAAAAAAACACCTTTGTAAAAATCGCTCCACTCAGAATCTGAAATGCATATGTAATGTCAAAGATAACGTGTCTGTAAATTAATATAGTTCCACAAAAACTACACTCATCGCCGCTAATACCGTGATCCCTTATATTGGTAGCAGGTTATCCGAAGGGTTCTAACAGTGAATACCATCCCTCATCACGGGAAAATCAATTGTCATATTGTATTTACGAATGTTATCATGTTTACTTATCGTGCGATTTCAAATACAGACTGTCACTTGTACTCATACAAATACATAACGATTTACTCGATATTAAAATACAATAAAATAATAATAACACAATAATAAGTACAATTTAATGCGAGATATTACATTTTTTTTTTTCCGTAGTCAAATTTTTTCACGAAATCGGGAACCCTCGGAGAAAAGCTTCTGCGCAATGTGTGCATTAATATTATGTCCAATAGGTTTTGTTCCTTTTAAAAATATAATTTTTGAAAACGAAACGTCCGAAAACTGTTAATGTATATCGAACCGAATATCATAGCCAAATTGATTGTCGGTTTTTTAAAGTAACAATTCAAAAGTAATCTAATTTCAATAAATTAAATATAGATATTTGTTTTACTAGTTATTATCAAAACGACGTCGAAACAAGATATTGCGCTAACGGTTTAGTATTCTGTCTTTTGCAGTGTGTCGGTTACCGACCGCTGACCCCCTATGGGAATATAGGCCGATAAAAAATACGGATATTGGCTATGACGTAAACAAATATAATCAAATTTTAATACAATAATACAATTATGATGTATTTTATGTTTAAATCTAGTTTAAAACATGATAAATCATCGTTATACCCGCAGTCCACTTTATTCATTGGCACCGTCCGCGGCAGCGTTATCGACTGACCACCGTCGCTAGTGTTTATCTTGAAATGTGTTTATTATTTTTGGGTTTGACTCACAGCCGCTGTCATCAACTAACACATCTAAACAAAAGTATCTACACGTTTAACATACTCAGTTATCGTTCACACACGTTACAGTGAAATTTTGTTTAACTAGTCACGGCATTCTGTTTTTGGATCTCCGTTGTCACTTGGCATACAGACATAATATATTACGTACCGATCTATTTGAATTTAAATTCTAGAGTTTAAGTTAGTACGTATTTAGATTCTGAGTGGAGTGAAGAAGCTTACGGTTTTCCAAAAATGTTTTTTTTTTTTTTGGAAATTGTTTTATTTTCATCCGTGCGCAACTTTTCTTACCAAAAAACTCGCTCAGATTTTTGAGTGTAGCCATTTTTCTGAAAAGAAATCGGCGTACTTTAGAGAGGTCGTTTCCCGATTTTCTCAGGAGTTTTCTCATTAATTATGATGAACCAAAAAAAAAAAAACTGGAAAATATAAATTGCAATATTATAATGGTGTAATATTAAGTTTATTTTTTTTTCTTAACAACAAAAAAAAGTGGGTGTCGATGCACTCAATATTAAAGCAATTTTTCTGTTAGATTTTGAATATGATCACGTGGACCGCTAGATTTTATTTTTCCCGGGTTGTTCAGATCATGCCTATCCGCCTCTACCACCTCCATTCGTTCGTTTTCAGAGTTGACATTGAACATTTAATCAAAAACGAACCTCGATTCGCTATGCGAAACCACGTCGGGCTGGGTTTTATTTCGTGAATGTTGGTATGCGATCCGGCCGCGTTACCAAAATCGATTCTTATCATTTTCGCACAGCGGCTCATTGCTGTTTATATAATCGGTATGAAAGTTTACGTGATTTTCAATGTAACCGCGGGCGTAACGAAAATAACTATCGTAGTTTATGACATTTCGAGACACTTGCCGTTGTAGCTGAAGTGGTGACATAATATATCTACAGTCAAAATCTTCCGATTAAAAAAACTTAACGGGACAATGGACGGAATCCACGAATGCGGAGGAAACGCAAACAAACGGCTGGTAAATCGTTCGGAAGTACCCACGTACATGAAGGAACTTTCCGCCGACGCCGAAAATGTTACCCGACCGTTAACGATTTTCCAACCGTACGTATTATTATATTACATTAACCTATTCACTTGCTTACCGACCGACTTACCCGATTACTTATAATATGGGTGATTATTCCCGTGTGTTCTATACCGTATTAAATTCGTGACGGCTCACTATGCTAACACACTACGATCGTAATGACCGCGATTGAAACCGTCCAATTAGTGAAATCAAATTTAATTTCTTTTCCCGCGTTATGGTCTTGTCGAGTATTCTGTGTCCGGGGCACGCCAAATGATACGCGCCGACATATTTCGCCGACACGGCTGTACAATTCGTAGCCGCATGCACCCGTTCGGTCGGACGAAAAATGTACGTAAACTGCAGGTGTTGGTTTTTCAATACGGCCGGCGGAATAATTTTATTATCGTCGGGACGGTCTTTTACCGTGTGCGGTTTGGCCGCGCTGTCGTCAATTTCGCAAAACGGAATACCAAGACCGAGTCATTTTTGCGAGATTTTTTTTTTTTTTTTCTACATAAGCTCTGTGAACGGATTTTGTTCGGCGAGAAAATCGCGTTACCGCGCGTCCTCCCCCCCCGTCACTGTCGTATATAATATATTATTTTATCAAAAATCCAAAACCAATGTTTACGTGATCCCTTTTTGACCGTAATCCTGCGTAGGTCGAGTTTTCGGACACGAAACTAATTCTCATCGCCGTCTTTATATGTATTATATACATAGTTAGAGAATATTTATACAACGCGCCCGATGCGGTCATTTTGAATCTACTACGCACATCTAAACGATGTTTTTCGAATTTTTTGTAGAAAATAATCGAAAATTCTCTGAAAATGAAATGAAAATTACATACAAAGTTTACTAATCAAAGCTTCGAAAATCGAAAAACCGGCTACAAAAGTATAGTTAAGCGAAAAATTCAAGGAACAATCTAGCTGTAATACGAATTGGATTGTGTAAGGACTTGGAACGCGTTATCCAAAGCGATCCTCCCAAAAAAAACTAAAAATCTATGCACTACATAAAAAGACTGTATGCAAATATATTTTGATAAAATGCATCCGTATTTACAGGGGATTCTTTTATCGTGAACCAGCATTTTTTTCGAAGGATTTCAATTAAATTTGATTTGCTGGTTTTTTTTTTTATCATTAAGGAATTATTCGATTATTTAACCTTACTCCTCGTATTTGAAATGAGAGTTCACTTTGGATTTTTAAATGGCAAACTTTTTTCAATCATATATTAAAATTTAACATGTTTTATAGAATTCTTTTTTGAGTTATAACAATATAAAGTTTAGACCGGAGGAGTAAGGAAGGGTAATAAATTACATATTGTCTGTTTTAAAATGATAAATTAAAACTCTTGTATACATGAAAATAATGCCCAAATTAAGCTTAAACGTTTTCATAATGAATAATAAAATAATAACAATAATAAAAAAAGAAAACAGAAATCAAATTCACTTGGAATCCTTCAACAAAATTGATAGTTCGTGATAAAAAATAATCACCACGTGTATATATCATAGTATTTTGTAAATATTGCCCTCAAGCATACATATATTTTAATAACATATTACTAACATACTTTATTCACACAGAATTTGTCTCTCGGCTATACCATTGTTGGGCACATGACTGTATACTATAAATAATTAAATATTATATTATATTTGTACCTTAAAAAAGTGGCGATAATATTGAGAAGACACATCGAAATTTAGGGAGGTGGGTAAGGCAAAACAGATACACAATTGTTGAATAGAGTTCCAAGGTTCAGAACTTTTAGTACCTATTTGCTTATTTTGCTGACAGTAATTTATGTCGTTTTTAATCAGTTCAACTTAGAAATTTCAAAGTGATTTTCTTTTATTTTTTTGATATTTTCTATTTTTTGATTATGTAAGCCGCTGACATTTTCCTTCTATGGTTTACAAATAAATAGGTTTTTTTAATGTATATATTAATTTATTATTTTATTGTTTATGTTATCTTATTTAATTTGCGTGTTGGTCAGGTTAGGTTAGGACTACAGAACAATATATATCCGCGATTGTATACAGAATTCAAGAATTCAAATAAGAAATTTCAAAGCACTTATTTTTTTTTTGCTTATTTCATCGTAGAAAAATGGTTTTACCAGATTTTTTACTTTTTTTTATTAATAAATGCATATTTCAGGAATGGCGGTTTTTTTTTTTTTTTATCCCAGACTTATAATATTTGAAAAATAATTAACTATTAAAAATAAAGAGTTCAATTATTAAAAGAGTCTATAAGTCATCGTAGTTTTCGAATTTATAAGTATTTATTTAAAGAATATTGACAATCTTGTTAAGTAGCAAAATAATAAAATCTGATAACAATATGATATAATTTTAACCATGAGTAATATGAGGAAGGAGGTTATCCAGTGATAAAATCCAGGATTTATAAGTCGTGTATTCAAGTAAAATTACCGAGTCTAGCGGTTTATAAAAATGTCTCTTCGTAAGTAAACTGCGTACATGTGTATGTCTACACAAAGTCGTCACGTAAACATTAAGCGAAAACGAAAATAAAAATAATAATAAATTAAACAGTCTGTGAAATCTATACACACGGTGGTAATATGTTTGCGAAACTGTTTTTTTTTTTTTTTCCAAATAAAGCCAAAATATTTGAAATTCCGAGTACTGCGATCGGTTATACGGTATTTACTATAATACACACGTCACGATAAAAAAAAAAAAAAATATATATAGTTAAACGTTGTTGATTCGTCTGGGAAACTGCGATTTTTATGTTATTTTCCTGAACTAATATTGTTATTTCCGCCGGATCGCGTCCGAAAAAAAAAAAAAAAAAAAAAAAACGTGTCCTACAATGACCGTCGTTTATTTACAGAGAACGCGTCGTATCACATTACATCGGCTCGGGTATTTTTCCAATACAAATATATCATTGAAACAATTCGTTATATTTCGCAGCGTTTTACGTCTATATAATATATAAGCTCTGCAGATATATAATATAGATATCAATGGCGAATAAAACAAAACTGCGAGACAAAACGACGAAAAAATTGCGCCATAAATAATATTATTACGAATGCGCGGTGATTTTTCTTTCTTTTTTTATTTTTTCCCGCTTTACGGAGATTTCGAGTAAAATGCGTTTTTTCTCCAGTCGATACAGAATCGCCTAATGATCTTTATTGTTCGAAATGTTTTCAGATTTAAATCGGACGCGTCTTAAATACACGGTTCCTTACACAGCTCGTCCGCGTTTCGCAATACGATTCCGTCAAACCGGTATCATTTTACCTACGTGATGTTCTGCATTACGTTGTTATCGATAGCAGAGGTTTTTCAAACACATCCAACAATGTTCAAACAGACCTGTTGGACATTGTTGGAATTTGCTGGAGGCCTGTTTCTTAGATATTCTACGTTAAATTTTGTACTGCTAATTTCACACCTAGAATTACATTTCTAATAAGACCGTTAAAAAGTACCTTCGGACAATATTATAATAGAATGTTTAGACATTGATAGGACAACTGAGATATTTTAAGTGTCAAACATTATTAGTACATTACTACGAGTATGCATGTATTTAGCAATTATCGTACGATTTATCGTAAAATTATATATTTAAGCTAAGATGAGTTTTTTTAGATATAGCTTTTAAATTCTCATTGTCGATTCTGCGATTTACTTATGAACCGTGATTATATTATTTACTACACAACCTCCTATTGAAAATTCTCAGGCACGCCACTGTAACTCATAATGTGCATCGCTTAATAGTAATGTTACACGTATCATCATTTCCGAATGAAAAATAAAATTCTCTTTACAAATCTGGCTTGAAAATTAAAAGTCGATATAACATGTTGATGATAAAAGATAAAAGTTTTGATATGATAAAATTATTTTTATAATGTCAATAGAGGTAATATTTCATGTTTTAATTAAGGTTTTTTTTTTTACATTTTTAAGTGGAGCGAAGAGACCTAAGGTTTTACAATGATAATTATTTTTTATTTTTTTTTTCTGTGGACAACTTTTCAACTAGAAATCTTACTCCAATTTTTAAATGTTGTACTTATTCTGGAATGATATCGGACTGGGGAAGTTCCTTAGCGAGGTCACTTTTTGATTTTCTCAGTAAATGTAAAAAACTGGAAA